AACCACGCACATGACGCTGTACTAATCATTTCATTTCTCTGAAAGTTTGTTTCACTATCTTCCCTTTCTTTGGTTCACACGTGTAACCTTTGGCACAAAGCGAAACTTCACCCCCCTCATAAAAAAAAAAAAAAAAAACACATTTACCTTTATACTGCATTCTTTTTTTTTTTTTTTTTTTTTACAAATACAGAAATCTGTAACTCTTTGTCAGGGATGAGTAAACAAATGGGAAATTCCAAATAACAAAATAACAAAAATGACACCCGTTATTTGAATATTTTAAGTAATATCCTATCTATTGTTCCGCATTCGTGCAATTGCCTTAAAGAAACTATAAAAGACGGAGTGCCATTTGGGAACTGTTCGTCATTCTCACGGTAGGCCTATATGGAACCTTAGGTGTTGTTGATGGTAATGAATTAAACTTTCAGGTTTTCTTCTGAAAGTAGTGTTGATCATTTTGGCATCAAGCAGTATCAAGCATTCCCTATCCCTTTCTGTTTTGTGTGATTGATATTGACATTGGAGCATTCGATCCGTCTTTTTTCCTCTGTATGAGCATGATACAGATGCATCTATGTATATAATATGTACACTGAACAAAAATACAGTTCATAGAAGGAAATCAGTCAATTAACATAAATTCATTAGGCCCTAATCTATGGATTTCAAATGACTGGGAATAAAGACATGCATCATAAAAAAAAAAAAAGTAGGGGCGTGGATCAGAAAACTAGTCAGTATCTGGTGTGTCCACCATTTGCCTCATGCAGTGCGACACATCTCCTTTGCATAGAGTTGATCAGGCTATTGTTTGTGGCCTGTGGAATGTTGACCCACTCCTCTTCAATGGCTGTGCGAAGTTGCTGGATATTGGTAGGAACTGGAACACGCTGTCGTACATGTCGATCCAGAGCAACCCAAGCATGCTTCCAGGAATTGTGTACAGATCCTTGCGACATGGGGCCGTGCATTATCATGCTGAAACATGAGGTGATGGCGGCGGATGAATGGCACGACAATGGGCCTCAGGATCTCATCATGGTATCTCTGTGCATTCAAATTGACAAATTGATAAAATGCAGTTGTGTTCCTTGTCCATAGCTTGTGCCTGCCCATACCATAACCCCCAATGGGGTACTCTGTTCACAACGTTGACATCAGCAAAGGGATTCATCTGTGAAGAGCACACTTCTACAATGTGCCAGTGGCCATCGAAGGTGATCATCAAATTCTTAGGTTGTGCAAACCCACAGTTTCATCAGCTGACCTGGCGGCTGGTCTCAGACGTGGTTAAATATGGTCTGCGGTTGTAAGGCCAGTTGGACGTATTGCCCAGAGCTGGCAACAGCTCTGGTGGACAATCCTGCAGTCAGCATGCCAATTGCAAGTTCCCTCAAAACTTGAGACATCTGTGGCATTGTGTTGTGTGACAAAACTGCACATTTTAGAATGGCCTTTTATTGTCTCCAGCACAAGGTGCACCTGTGTAATGATCATGCTGTTTAATCAGCTTCTTGATATGCCAACACCTGTCCAGGTGGATGGATTATCTTGGCAAAGGAGAAATACTCACTAACAGGGATGTAAACAAAATTGTGTCAAAAAAAATTGAGAGAAATACACTTTTTGTGCGTATGGAAAATTTCTGTGGTCTTTTATTTCAGCTCATAAAACATGGGACCAACACTTCACATGTTGCGTTTATATTTCTGTTCAGTATATATACTGTAAGTATATTGTGTGATTTTATGTTTCAGGTAAGTGTCAATATCATTGATCTACATCCAGTTGGAATGCAATTGAATCACACCTCACACATTACAAAGAGACCGGTCTGTGTTCACTGTCACTGTATGAAGGAAGCAAGTGCTTTGTGTTTTTATTTGTCCGCTTACTCTGTCCCGTCTGTATTTCTTGTCTTTGATGAAAGACACGTGTTGAACATTTAACTGCAGCAAGCAGCTGTTTCAGGATAACATAGAAATAAAAAATTATTCTGCAAAAAGGAATTGATATTCAACTCACGGTTGGAACTTGGGTGGGCCGTGGGTTAACCATGTTCAATCAGTAAGATTTATTCAATTCATGAATCAAAATTCAATTAATTTCCTTAATTGACTCGGGGTGAGATGAAATTGACCCTGACCTTGACCCTTCTACATAACACTCTTATGGCACATATCATTTCACCACCGGCGGCTTCCCTAATACATTTCTACACTGATGGATACCTGACCCAAAGTGTCATCTGAAAGCAAGCAGTCTCAACCAAGCGCAGACATATTTTAATGTCTAACCCTCCAGGGAGAATGGTACCCTAAACATTTCCTGTTACTGTCTAGTCCTCCAGGGATAATGTCACCCTAAACATTTCCTGTTACTGTCTAACCCTCCAGGGAGAATGTCACCCTAAACATGTCCTGTTACTTTCACAAGCCGCTAGAGGACACAGTTGTAAACAAATTAAAATGTATTAACTGATGATCGTTATGCAATGTTAGCCGAATCTATGACAGTCAACGGTTATCCAGAATGAACACCCCTTGAAACTGTTACATATGGCTCAATCAATGATGAAGTGGATAAAACAAAGCAGAAAGCATTAAAGAAAGGGTGTATGTAAATATGTGAATATGGAAAATGTAACCTCTATTTTTAAGCTGCTTGAATACGGATACAGAAACTCTTATTACAGTGGTTACTAACCTGACGGGAAACAAATTAAAGCAAATAGAAAGCTATTTGCAGCCAGACTGTATATGCTTGCACATTTACATTTCCTGAATAATAGCAAATACATTATGTTTCAGTGAGACTAGACAACTATTACAAAGCTGTCAACCACGGCTATTACTCGCTGCGGAGATTACGGATCAAAGTAATTAGACTATTGGGAGATATTCTTAATTGTCTCCATAGCACTGATTACGATGTGCACAGTAAATGTTATATTCTATGAAAGGAAGGTAATGAATAGAATGTATTGGTGGGGAAAAATGAAAAGGAAAGCGAAGGCAGTAGCTCCTTGCATGGCGCCTCTGTCTGAGCTGTTCAAGGCTTCTTCTGATGAGATAACGTTGAAAATTAGTAGGTTTTTATTACAGGTGGAAGATAATCTTGAAAATGATTAGGTTTGTAATCGAGGGCAGGGGAAAGGGGTTGTGAAAGGCATCGCGACTCGCCATACAATAAACATTTGAGGAGGAACACAGTGTTGGGCATATCATGGGGGAAGAGCCTGTACTGTATGTTTATATAAAATGTTAGCACAACACAGAGTGAAACATTTTTTTTTGGGGTCCATTGAGGCTTAGGTACGTGTCTGCAGACCCCTGAACAAGACGAGATTCTATGAACATATTCAGGCAAGAGAAAAGGTACCTTGGATCATCAGTTAGAGCTGGAGCTGAATGTCTTCCTAGATACACTGAGCAATATTTCACCAGAGATTTTACATATAAACTATTCACCTTGGGTTCACAAATAACATTTGCCACATTCAGCTTGTTCAACAAGCTGTACTGTGTGTTGGCGTTTTTTTTTTTTTTCTTTTTTTTTTTCGGTAAGTAAATCGTGTTTAGGAAGGTTCCACTAAGCTGGTTCCAATTTAGTGGTCATCGTTCTTATTGATTACTGATCAGCAAAATCTCTACCAAACTGAAAACTATGACGTTTAATAGATATATTTTTTCTGTTGTGAAACTACTTTGGTATAGGACAACCATTTATATACTGTACATGGAATAAATTGGACAAATATTTAGCTAGGCTTTTCTTCAAAGAGGTTTGTCTTTCATACATATTTCAATTTCTTTTGCACAATATCATTCTATGATTACAGGCATTGTCAGATCCTCTTCTTTGCAACATCGTGGAGACTGAGGAACAACATCGTGGAGACTGAGGAACAACATCGTGGAGACTGAGGAACAACATCGTGGAGACTGAGTAACAACATCGTGGAGACTGAGACACAACATCGTGGAGACTGAGGAACAACATCGTGGAGACTGAGGAACAACATTGTGGAGACTGAGGAACAACATCGTGGAGACTGAGGAGCAACATCGTGGAGACTGAGGAACAACATCGTGGAGACTGAGGAACAACATCGTGGAGACTGAGGAACAATTTTGTCATTGTCCATTCCTCCACAGTCCATGTTCACACACATACACACAAATCAGAAACCATCAAAATACATTAGACAAACTGTTTGGTGTTACTCTGTCCCCTTACAGCTGATGTTATAGATACATTTACATTTTAGTCATTTAGCAGACGCTCTTATCCAGAGCAACTTACAGTTAGTGAGTGCATACGTGTTTTCATACTGGCCCCCCCGTGGGAAACAAACCCACCAACCCTGGCGTTGCAAGCGCCAAGCTCTACCAACTGAGCTAAAAGGGGATACATCAAGATACATTAGACAAACTGGTTGGTGTTACTCTGTTCCCTTCCAGCCCCTTCCAGCTGATGTTATAGATACATCAAGATACATTAGACAAACTGGTTGGTGTTACTCTGTTCCCTTCCAGCCCCTTCCAGCTGATGTTATAGATACATCAAGATACATTAGACAAACTGGTTGGTGTTACTCTGTTCCCTTCCAGCCCCTTCCAGCTGATGTTATAGATACATCAAGATACATTAGACAAACTGGTTGGTGTTACTCTGTTCCCTTCCAGCCCCTTCCAGCTGATGTTATAGATACATCAAGATACATTAGACAAACTGGTTGGTGTTACTCTGTTCCCTTCCAGCCCCTTCCAGCTGATGTTATAGATACATCAAGATACATTAGACAAACTGGTTGGTGTTACTCTGTTCCCTTCCAGCCCCTTCCAGCTGATGTTATAGATACATCAAGATACATTAGACAAACTGGTTGGTGTTACTCTGTTCCCTTCCAGCCCCTTCCAGCTGATGTTATAGATACATCAAGATACATTAGACAAACTGGTTGGTGTTACTCTGTCCCCTTAGAGCCCCTTTTACAGCTGATGCTCATGTAAGAAGGCAGAGGATCCCCCGGTGGCCGGGGTCTGCTGGCCCGACGAAGACGAGGAAAAGCTGGCCAGAGGGATGACCTTGACGGGGTCAGATTCCTTACTCTTGCTGCTGCAGTGTCTTTCCAGAGTGTTGTAGAACTGCGGCCGGTTCATCCCTTTAGCCAGATGGTCTTTGGGCGTAGACCTGCCCAGGGTATGGCACTGACGTCCGTCCTCCTGGGCTCCCCTGGCCCAGGGGTAACTCTGCTGGTGCTGGAAGCCAAAGGAGGGCAGCGTAGGCAGGGTAGGCAGGGTACCGGTGTTGGACGGAGACTGGAACTGGGTCACCAGGGCCGGGGGCATCCAGCAGCTGTCGGAGTGGCCCAGGATCAGACATTCCTGGGTGCACGTCTCCGAGGCTTCCGCCAGGGCCTTGGCCAGGTTCACCTCCACCACTGCTGCAGCACCAAAGACATTCAACAAAAGAGAGTAGAAGAAGAGAATGATGAGCTCAGTTAAAGCGTTGAAACGCGCCATTTACTGCTTTTTAAAGGGATTTAGACAAGGACATTGTATTGCTGGGGATTTTTTTTGAGTTAGAGAGGGGACAAGAAAAACTAACAAAAACAAATTGCAACGTTAAATAGAATAAAGGTGTATGTTGATCTGAAGGTGACGGGGCCCCATGTAGCTCAGTTGGTAGAGCATGGCACTTGCAACGCCAGGGTTGTGGGTCCGTTTCCCACGGGGGGCCAGTATGAAAATGTATGCACTCACCAACTGTAAGTCGCTCTGGATAAGAGCGTCTGCTAAATGACTAAAATTTAAAAATTTAAGTTGACCTGTAAATGTCAACCTGTTAGATGTTGATCTGAAGGTGACCTGTAAATGTCAACCTGTTAGATGTTTGTCTGAAGGTGACCTGTAAATGTCAACCTGTTAGATGTTGATCTGAAGGTGACCTGTAAATGTCAACCTGTTAGATGTTTGTCTGAAGGTGACCTGTAAATGTCAACCTGTTATATGTTTGTCTGAAGGTGACCTGTAAATGTCAACCTGTTAGAAAAATAAAAGGCAGTAATAAATGTTTGATTCATCCCATAAGGAGAAAAACAGCAGCAGAACATTTAATTCCCATTGGTATTCCCTTGGTTCTCTGTGTTTACCTACAATATGCAATGAATTCCCAGTAGATTAATTAAATAAGAACTGTCTCTGTTGTTTATATCTGAGATTGGCTTTACTGTATTAAATATTTAATGAACATCCCAAACCATTGTTTTTTTAAATCACTGTCACCATGGCACACTTTGCATCCTCTGATCTACTCAACATTAGACAAATCTGGTCAATTATGATAACTCAAACGTGAACATCATAAAATCACACAAATCCACGCCTCTTAGTATTCTTCTTAGCATATTTGACGTGCAAGGAACAGTGAGTATAGTTATGAGTGATAGACTGTATTTGCATTCAGGGAGGGAGAAAGCAGGGAGGGAGAAAGCAGGGAGGGAGAAAGCAAGGAGGGAGAAAGCAGGGAGGGAGAAAAAAAGGCACTCCAACTATCTTAACTCATTATGCTCTGGCTGACATCACATGTGAAATGAGTCCAGGAAGAGAAGGAGGCCTCAGCATTGAGCACCAGCAATAAAACCTGTCAACTCTGGTAATTACAATGTAAAACAGTATGCACCACGGCAAACAGGAGCCCACAGTATGCACCACGGCAAACAGGAGCTCACAGTGTTATGTTTCTGAGACACACAAAGAGGAAAAGTGGAGAGGTCCTTGGTAGAACATCACATCAGTCCTCCAGGCCTCTGCTTCAAGCTGTCACTTAGAAATAATTTAGCATATTTGCATAAGTAAGAATGCTATCAATAATTGAATGGTCCTAGGTCTGTGTCTGTGTCTATGGCTGTGAGATCCCCACATTACAAGTTTAGCATGCTCTGTTTAATTAAATTCCCTAGCCAGCTCAAATGTTAAACAATGACTTTCAGAACAGTGAAGTTATTGTCTTAAAGAGTCTAGGCCCTGTCTAAGCCTGGGGAGGGGGTTCTACTAAGCTATATGGAATTGTTTTAAGAAGGTCACACAAAATATCATTTTGCTATTAGATTTAGAATTTGAAGAATCTGGTCAAACATTTTTTTTGGCCTTAATGCTATTAGCCCATACAAACAAATTGAATACCAGATTCACTACATGGAACAACAGATAGTCTCCCCCCCAAAAAATCGAAAGGAGGTTTGTTCTGAAGTGTCTGTCATATATCTGAGAGATATGTGACCTACAGGCTCGATTCGGTCTTATGTAGCAACATTTGAAATGGTGTTTTTTACATTGGATAAAAGTAGATACTCAGAGCTAGAAAATGGTGTATCATACACTACAGTTGAGGAACAATGTTGAGGCCATGTACTAAACAACCAAAAATGTCAAGACTAAAGGCTGGTTTATTCTACAGGTGTGTTCATAAATTTAATCTGGAGTGACAGAGTGTGCTCAGAGTGCGCTCTGGGCATTCGTCAAATTGTCCGTTTGTAAATTCTGAGCGTTTCGCTCTTGGAGCGTTGTAGAGTGCACACTGGACGAGTAGGGTTGATCAGAGTGTTCTGACCTAACAACAGCAGTCAAGCACCCAAGCTAACGTTGGCTAGCTTGCTAGATACTTCCAGACACCAATGAGAGAGCCGCTCACTCTGACCATTTTACTCGGCCTAGCAGAGCTGGTTAGGCTGTTTTTTATGTTGTCCAGAGCGTTGGTGACTGCAACTGGTCGCAACAATTTAATTACACTTTTTTTGCAAACATTTACTGACACCGGCCATGTTGAGCATTCGTAAATTCGTCAGTTATTCTGCGCTCTGGCACACTCAGACGAGAGTGCTCTGAAATCGGAGCAGATAGCCCAAGCGATTTCACCAGATACGTCTATCGACAGTTGTCGCAGTGACATCATTAACATTCTATTGAAATGGTTACTTGCATAGTGGAGTCTTTTGTTTAGACATGTAGCTAGCTAGCTAAACAATGAACCATAATCCCAACTCCTAATGTTACCACCCGGCATGAATCTGCAGGTGGCTAACCAACCAGATTCAATGTTAGCTAGCTAACATTAGGCTGTAAATATCAATGAAAATGGCTCTGAGATACGAATAATATAACTACACAGATCATACACGTAATGTTAGCTAGCGAGCCAGCCAGCTAATGTTAGCTTGCTAGCTAACATTACACTTTAACTTGAAATGAAAATGACTTTCTGACAAAATTAGAAACGTGTAATATCTGAAAATGTAGCTATCTAGACTGTCTTACACGTATGCATGGATGGACACTTCTCCCTCTCTGTCACGGATGCCATGGTTGCCCTTAGTTTGAAGATGTAATCCGGAGACAGGTGTTTTATACAACAGCCTTCTTTGCGTTCTCTTTTCGACTCCATCTGCATATTTGCAATCAAACGCCAGAGTTTTCTCCATGTACTTAGCTATCATACTCTAATTCCAATGATTTCAAAACTCAGTCCTCCAGATATTGGAGAACAAGACTTCTACAGCTCTACTTACGTGATATCTTTAAAATAAGCCCCGAACTCATCTCTCGGCATGTCCAGCCCACTCATTATCGCAGCCAATCATGGCTAGCGGGAAGGTTACTGTCTTTTTCTGTGGCTAAGCCAACTAGGCTTGTAATTTAACATTTTCTTTCGTATTTACATATACATACAAGTTTGTTATTAAGGCACATGAAAGTTCACATGTTCCAGAAGGCATTTCTGCAAAAAATTAATGGATAAAAAAATTAAGTTTAATTTCAAATGGCTCTCCTGTGAAGTAGTGACGCATGACATACGCCTAGTTTCCTGAAACGAGTCACATATAAGAAAGATCAGAAAACATATACACTTTTTGCATGTATTTAACCCCTTATTTTTGGCACTAAACAGTCTCCATATATACGTACTTCCATTCATTTTGTCAACTGGTACCGGGGGACCTTCAGACATGTGTTGTGAGGCCTGTGGTGGTTCTAGAGCAAAACACCTGACATGAACGTGTTCGTGAGAGTCTCACCTTTCCACAGAGGGGTCATATTAGTGTGTAGCCCACACTGTTAGGATGCTACAGACAGAAGTTGGCAGATCGTTGGTACCGACTTCAGACGAGTCCCAAGACATTGTGGGGATCGTAGAGCAAAACGGAAAACACCATCATGTTCGTGAGAGTCTCATCTTTCCAGAGAGAGATCATAATACACTACCGGTCAAACGTTTTAGAACACCTACTCATTCAAGGGCTTTTCTTTGTTTTTACTATTTTCTACATTGCAGAATAATAGTGAAGATATGTGTTAACTATGAAATAACACATATGGAATCATGTAGTAACCACAAAAGTGTTAAACAAATCAAAATCTATTTTATAGCCACCCTTTGCCTTGATGACAGCTTTGCATACTCTTGGCATTCTCTCAACCAGCTTCATGAGGTAGTCACCTGGAAAGTTAATATGTGGATTTCTTTCCTTCTTAATACGTTTGAGCCAATCAGTTGTATTGTGACAAGGTAGGGGGGGGGGCCCTATTTGGTAAAAGACCAAGTCCATATTATGGCAAGAACAGCTCAAATAAGCAAAGAGAAACAACAGTCCATCATTACTTTAAGACATGAAGGTCAGTCAATACGGAACATTTCAAGAACTTTTAAAGTTTCTTCAAGTGCAGTCGCAAAATCCATCAAGCGCTATGATGAAACTGGCTCTCATGAGGACCGCCACAGGAATGGAAGACCCAGAGTTACCTCTGCTACAGAGGATAAGTTCATTAGAGTTACCAGCCTCAGATATTGCAGCCCAAATAAATGCTTCACAGAGTTCAAGTCACAGACACATCTCAACATCAACTGTTCAGAGGGGACTGTGTGAATCAGGCCTTCATGGTTGAATTGCTGCAAAGAAACCACTACTAAAGGACAGCAATAATAAGAAGAGACCTGCTTGGGCCAAGAAACACGAGCAATGAACATTAGACCGGTGGAAATGTGTTCTTTGGTCTGGAGTCCAAATTTGAGATTTTTGGTTCCAACCACGGTGTGGATGAACAGATGATCTCCGCTTGTGTATTTCCCACCGTAAAGAATGGAGGAGGAGGTGTTATGGTGTGGGGGTGCTTTGCTGGTGACACTCTCTGTGATTTATTTAGAATTCAAGGCACACTTAACAATTATGTCTACCACAGCATTCTGCAGCGATACGCCATCCCATCTGGTTTGGGCTTAGTGGGATACAAAAATACAAGACAATTGTACTGTCTGGTTTGCTTAATATAAGGAATTTGAAATATAGTTGTACTTTTACTTCTGATACTTAAGTACATTTTAGGATGTCCATTTACTTTTGATACTTAAGTATATTTAAAAGCAAATACTTTTAGACTTTTACTCAAGTGGTATTTTACTGGGTGACTTTCACTTTTATTTGAGTCATTTTCTATTAAGATATCTTTACTTTTACTCAAGTATGACA